TCCTTACTGGACCAGAACAGTTTAGAACAGATAGAGCTATGCGGTATAAATAAATGTTTAGGAACGAACTTTCCCTAAGTCTCATGTTAATAGTATATTTTGTGTTCAATATATAGACCACAGTAAGACTTTTTTTAAATGTTTATTTCATTAACAAACGACGTTTCGGAGATTTACTCCATCTTCAGGTAGTAGGATTACACTTTGAATTTAAACTAACATGCGCATGCATAAACGTTAAATTGCGACCGTTATTCGCGCGTGCGAAATTGCGTAAGCATATAAAATAAGCATATAAATTTATATGCTTACGCAATTTCGCACGCGCGAATAACGGTCGCAATTTAACGTTTATGCATGCGCATGTTAGTTTAAATTCAAAGTGTAATCCTACTACCTGAAGATGGAGTAAATCTCCGAAACGTCGTTTGTTAATGAAATAAACATTTAAAAAAAGTCTTACTGTGGTCTACATATTGAACACAAGGTATAAATAAAGTTAGTTTAGTTTAGGTTTCCTTCTGTAGTAACACTGAATCAAGATTATTCGATCAGATTGTTCGTCAAACGTGCTTATATATTATTTTGGAATAAGTAATAAAGTTAAAAATTATATGATGCGCAGGGTTATTCATAGTGTCTTCTTGTTTGCATGCATACGCACATAGGGGAGGGGGTGCCAAAAAGCGTAGAAAGAGGGCAGGGGTATATAATATTCCCCCACATAGAATGTTTATAACATTCTTAATGCTATCAAACGTAAAACGTTCGCCCAGAATGCAGGAAATGCCATTCCAGGGACCGTAAATTTTAAAATTTTCTCTTGCGCGCCTTTGGCGCGCTATATTGTACTGTTACTTAAATAAGATGCGTGAATATGGTCTTATTGTATAGATTCTATCTAGTTTAAATAACAGCTCTCGTTTTTTAATATTCAACAATGTTGTAAACTGATCGGATTTGAACATTCTTATAATAAGCATTGGGAACTTTAGAGCTATTATTCGAAAATTTTTCATCTGCTTTTTCAACCATCAGGAGTTATATGGCCCCGCGGCCGCCACAGGGCCAGAACTACTGAGGGTGACGGTGTAGCACCCCGAAGAAAAGTCAAGGACCCTTGGTGTAACACCCCAAAGGACCGAATTTCCCCAGAGGGCCCCCGACATGCTGGAATTTCGGAGCGTGTTAAATATTAAGGAATCAGATTGTGAAAAATTGAGGTTGATGAAGCTTTGAAAAACGTACTTTTAACGCTTCCTCCCCCATTATCCCAAAAAATGTTTGGAGAACTTTTTTGGGACGTTTTATTTTCGCAAGAAACGTACGTTGACCTCCCTCCCTTCTACCATGCATGTGCATGTCATTACATTGCCTTTCTAAAGGAATTTTCACTTGAGGGGGGTGGGGAAAAAAGACAAAAATTTCCTTCCGAATAGGAAACATTCAGGCTGTTTCGAACAGATAGCGTCATTCAGTATAAATCAAGTTAGTTCAGGTTTCCTCCTGTAGCAACAATTAAGTAAAAAACAAAAGTCAAATAGTGATTGTGCATCACACCTCTACCATCAAGAAATGTAAAAGTTGGTTAAGTAAAACCCCTACCTAAATACAGTTATCCAGCACAAATATAAAAGGTTGGTCAGGTGTAGACATACCTGCATTTACCCGGAATTTTGAAAAACAGTTAGTCTCTCTTAAACCTCCTGATGACAGGTTATATGTGAATGTATAGTTACCTCCGCCAGGAGGTTATGTAATCATCTGGGTTTGTATGTGTGTGTGTGTGTGTATGTGTGTGTGTATGTGTGTGTGTGTGTATGTGTGTGTGTTTGTCTGTGAGCACGATAACTCACGAAATACCAAACATATCCGTACGAAATTTTGTGAGTGCATTTCCCATCGGCTAAGGAAGAACTGATTAAAATTTGGTTGAATTTGGTTAAAAATTGAATGAGAAATAACAAAAGTTTTTCTTGCTTTTCCCGGTCAATTAAATAAAACTTTATACTGAATGCGTAATTAGGACGTGCATAATATATGCACCAGCCATTTAAATTCTAATAACAATTGATTACTTCAATATTTTGCGCGTAGGCGGAGGTATGCAGTCTCTGAGTGCCCTCTAGTTAATGGTATGTTCTCCAACACCAAGCGCTGCTGGTGGTCTGATGTTGGGGGTGAGTTGTTCCTTGACCGCCAGCCCATTTATTTTTGTACATACGAGACATGGTTCATTCCATTGCACTGCAGGTTTCGAACAATGATATTCATATTCAGACTCACAACTACAGTAATCTATAACTGAAGTCATCTGGAATTAGTAAATGTGATGCGACCATGGATTGTAAAATAACAATCCATGATGTGGCTTAGAGGTTTTGTATGAGTATTTCCATTGGTCATAATTATGCCAATATGGACAAGGTCAATGTTCTTTGGCCTGGAAACTGTATCAGATATACGATAACAAAGATGATGGTGATGATGACGAAGATTGTGGTGATGGTGGTAGTGGGATAATGATGATGACGATGGTGATAATGATAGTAATGATCTGATGATGGTGATGATGATGGTAGTGATAGTGGTGATGAAGGTGGTGATAAAGATGGTAATGGTGATGATGATGGTGTGGTGATGATCGTGATAATGATGATGGTGGTGATAGTGGTGGTGGTAGATGATGATGACGATGATGATGGCGATGATGATGGCGATGGCGATTATGATGGCAATCAGATGATGGTGATGATGATGGTGGTGATGATCGTGATAATGATGGTGATGATAATGGTGGTGATGATTGTGATGATGATGGTGATGATGATCGTGATAATGATAGTGATGATGTTGATGATGATGATGATGATGATGGTGGCGATGATGATAATAGTGGTGATGATCGTGATAATGATGGTGGTGATGATGATGATGATAGTGGCGATGATGATGGCGGCGGTAGTGGTCATGATCGTGATAATGATCGTGATGTTAATGGTGATTGTGATATATAAAGGTGATGTGATGGCAGTGATAGTGATGAAATAAAATAATTTATCAATCAGGAATATTATAATCGGATCAAAGCACGGACTTGCGGTATTATAAATATTTCGCCAAACACGTACGCTTGCGATCTTTCATCTATGGTAATTTGCTATACAACTCGAAGATTTTACTTACCGAAACCGCATGAATAAAGGCCGGGTCCATGGAGGGGGTCCCGGTCCATAAAGGGGGTCCATGGACCCGGTCCAGACAAGGGGTCCATGGACCGGGGGTCCATGTTTTGTACTTTCCCGACAAAAATCTATGAAAACAGTAAATTTAGTGCGCCACAATCCCTAGCAATATCCCTAGCAGTATTCCTAGCAGTATTCCTAGCAATATCCCTATCCCAGTGGTTCTGCATCATCAGTTTTTTATTTTAAGTCCACAACAGGTGGGTTTCACTTAAAATTATCCCTTTCAAAAGCATTGTAATACTTTACTGTATGAAATACAAAATTTCTATATTTATTTTATGTGGCCTAAATAACAACGCTGTTTCCAAGCAGCATATCTGTTTAGTGTCAAGATTTTGTGTTATAAATATTACATGTAAATCGACTATGAAATATTCTAGCAGTATTAAGTATTATAAACTATATTTTTATCAACATACCATGCGAGGTGAACAAAATCCGCATTAAAATCACTTCAAATATTGTACAACTGAACAAGTCACACGACAAGAGAAACAATATTATTTGCTTGTTGTATTTAAAAATAAATAATCCATATTTTCACGACATTTTAGAGAAATATACCATAATTAGTGCAGAAAATTTCCAATTCGTTTATTATAAATTCGTCCGTTTGTTTATATTCGCATAAATTATATATTATTTAATTACTATTTTCCATATTTCACGCTGACAATACGTCAGACTCCGTGTTTTCCATATGACTCCGTGTTTTCCATAGTTTTCTCTGACGTCAGACTCCGTGTTTTCCATATGACTCCGTGTTTTCCATATTTTTATGACGTCAGACTCCGTGTTTTCCATATGACTCCGTGTTTTCCATATTTTTTTGACGTCAGACTCCGTGTTTTCCATATGACTCCGTGTTTTCCATATTTTTATGACGTCAGACTCCGGGACTCCGACTCCGGGACTCCGACTCCGGGGCTCCGACTCCGGAACTCCGACTCCGTGTTTTCCATCTAACCCTGAATAACATAGTTCAGGAGTTTACGATGGCAATCCGATTACTGCCGAATACTTTGTTCGGCAATTTGCGAACGACGTAAGGACAATGCAGTTTAATATGGGTGTTTGGAAACCCAGGAACTACAGGAACAGGAACTACAGGAATTACAGGAACATGGACAGGAATTACAGGATCTACAGGAACTACAGGATTTTCAGGAACAGCATAAATCATAATATTCTTTAATTATTCGTTAATTTTTGCGGGAAATGAGCAATTTTCCCGCCAAAACCACTAATAATTATAAATTATAACATAAATATAGCACGTGGAAGTGCATTTCCACCAGTGGCGGCGCCAGGGGGGGGGCAAGCGGGGGCAAATGCCCCCCCAAATTTATTTTTTGCCCCCCCATTTTGCCCCCCCCTCAAAAAAAATTATTAGTCACTAAGAGCGACTAAAGGCTACACAAGCGTTTTGTAGTTATCGGAAAATGTATGGCTTATAAGTTGTCATTACTCTTTAGTGAATGCGCGTATACATGAAACTGTTTTTTACAGTTTCAATATTAGTTTGTAAATCTCTGAATGGTAAAACTTGCCAATACTCCAATAATACGTTTCAAAAAAAGACAAAAAGCTTTAGTTTTGCAGAGTTAAATTCTCAAACGTGTAAGGCAATAATAAGATGAAAGTATCACGAAATTATTTGAATAAACCACATCGCATATATGGGGGGCGAATGTCCTAAAGAGGGGCGATATTCTTAGGGTATTCGCCCCACCCCCCTGGGAGGCGATATCGCCACGTTTTGAGGGGGGGGGGGTGAATCTCCTGGGGGGCGACCTTTTTAAAAATTCTATCTTGCCCCCCCAAAATTTGAGTTTGCCCCTCAAATGCCCCCCCAAATTTGGAAGCCTGGCGCCGCCACTGCATCCTTCAACTTCGTACACTAGCTGTTGAAACTCCTCCCATGAATATGAATATGCAATAGCTTTTAAGTGCGAGGGTGAGGCAGGGATTATTCTAAGGAAATTTTATCACTGCACAAAAGCGCGAAAAAATGATAAAATTTATATAAATTTAGCGACATTTTAGAAAACGTCCTGACTGCCCTGCATGAGTGCATGTAGTCTGGTTCTGCAACTTGCATGTCACTAATTTCAGTATATGCAGGCAAATGACACAAAGTCACTGCTAATGAGCCCAAATCTGCATTCTGCATGAGGAGAAGGCTAGCTTAGTAAGGGGAGGCTAGCTTAGTTAGAGGAGAAGGTTAGCTTAGTAACCTCAGTGCGTCTCGTAAATGAGGACAAACGGCAATTAATAATTGAAGCTAAGCGCTTAGGAAATGTTTACGAACCGGAACCGTCCTCTGAAGTCTCAAACCAAACAACGCATTGCGAAAGCACACAAAATGAAAACCCCATGCAAAATGAGCAACATGATAAAATAATTGAATTGGTCGAATTGGATAAAACATTCCAAGAACCGGATGGCCCGAATACAAGAAATGAAAATATGAACCCCGTTGTAGGAGTGGCTGTGTCTGGCCATCCCGACAGAACTAGTACAGATAAACAGCCTAATTCCGAATGTGCGTCTCAACAACTTAAGAGTGTTGTCCCATGTCCATTCCTTCTCTTCCGCCGTGGCCATTGCACTAAAGGAGTCAATTGTGACTTCTCCCATTCGAATCTGGAATCTAATAACAAAGAACATCAGATCTTTTCTAAACCCAAGCACCTGACCCCATGCCCCTTCCTAGAAAGAAAGGGAAGCTGTTTAAAAGGCGAAAAGTGCGACTTTTTTCGCAAAACCACCCATTTTCAACAACGGCACTATCCCAATTATTACGAAAATCCGGCTTTTTTAGAACCGCTGGAAAGCATCAAGTCAATATTGAGACAGGTGGAGGTGGGTCTGCAGAAATTCAATATAACTCATGGAACCGGTTTCCAACAAATCCCCACTCAGACGATGGGTCTGAATCGATGCCCACCGACGGCGATGCCGCAAAATCGACAGCTCCTACGGCCACTAATGAGCATACCCTACCCCTATTTTTAAATGATTACACTGGCAATTATAAATCCCACCCAATTAATGTACGTCTAACCCAGAGAAAACCTTACAGAAGTCCCGTCACAACGAGTAATAGTGTCGAATTACCAATACACGTAAACACAATATATTCATGTCAAATTACCAATACACGTAAACACAACTGCAGGCAGAATGCACCTAGAAATAATTTGGTAAATATTCCGATTTCAAGA